ACTAAGGAAGGAAGCGCTTGATTAAGAAAATATTTTAGGGATAAGTTCTCTGATTGAGATACATTCTTTCAGACATAATGTGGGCAAAATTTAAGATTTTGAATTGAGGACAACGTTATCCTATTATACATTTTAGGCTTAGCGCTCTGACTGAAAAGAAAATCACTATTTTTCGCAGCTCTAGTGTGATGTTATAGTCGGTTTTTCTAGCTGCATCATCTGTTATGCAGATTTTAAAAGAACTTTATTGAATTTTTTTGCTTTGCTCTAGTTGCCATTTGATGACGATAATGTTCAACTATTATTTAAAAAAATTCGGTGTAAGTTTATTTATCTGTCATTCGTTATAGTTGAGATTCTAAACTAGCATCATTTTAGCCGGTATATTTCCAATACCTGAAACACTTAATCCATCTGTGGTTGATTTATTACAAAAAATGTTAACTGTTGATCCCGTTAGACGGGCGACGATTAAAGATATACGGTAGGCAATAGAAAGTGATTACCTTCTCTAAGTGATTACCTTCTCTAACAAAATGTAAATTTCCTTCTTTTTTTAGTGAACATGACTGGTTTAAAATCAATTTACCTGATTATTTATTTCCAAAACAATGTGAAGAAAGTACAAATATTATTGATTTAGATGCTATTCAAGAAGTTTGTGAGGTAAGTCTATTGTGTTCTATTTCTTGTGAATGTATTGTTTCTTTTTTGTGTTCTTATAATCGATGCCGTTTAGTATGAAGTAGTAGCAGCAGCAGTACTACAAGTACTGAGTTATTGGTTTATTTAGCTATAGAACAAAATTGACAAAATCTTTTTTGTCAGTAAGCTTTTTTTTGCGACGAATATATCAAAACTGAATAGGTTAAAGATTTACGTTCTTTCTTTGAAGCATAATTATGAAATCTTGTGTTTTCTTTATCTAGAAATTTGGTGTTACTGAATCGGAAATGCATGATGCTTTATTGGTAAATGATCGACACGATCAATTAGTTATTGCCTATCATTTAATTATTGATAATAAACGAATTTGGAATGAAGGTAATAAACCATTAATATTCATATTCTTCTAACTTTCAATGACTTTCTTGTGTTAGCTCGAAAAGTTGAAATTGCCGACTTTTTTGCCGCATCAAGTCCACCACATTCAGCATTTTTATCTCTCGCAGTAAGTAAAAAATAGTGCATAAGATAGCTGTTTAGAAAATGCTTAAAAATTGAATAAGAATGTTATTTAGAATTTAGTGTTCCACGAGTTAGACACTTTCACCATTTACTATTATAGTCTATACTCATTTGTTGATTCATTACACGAAAAAATCTTTTTCAGCTGTAGAATCTGATGCGTTGAGAGCAGAGATGAGCAAGTCTCAAGTCAGCCAAATCAAGTCACAAGACCCCAAAAATTTGTCTCACACAAGTTTAACTTGACTTGTCCAGCTCTGCATGAAAAATGATGCCACTTAGATTTTTAATATCAGTTTTTTACATTATAAATTCGGAAAAATGCACGTTTGAAATGACCTAAGAGACAGCCAAAATTAGAAATCAGTCAGAAGACCGGAAAACCCTTTTTCCAGTCAAATTAGAGTCATTAAAAAGTTTTTGGTCAAGTCTCACTTGACTTGTCCTGCTATGGTGTTTTGTGCTTTCTAATAGCGTTTATGGGATGAATATCGCTTTTCTTGGAGGATGCCAAGAGTCAATGAATAGTAAAATATGCAGAAATAGTTATTAAAGTTATGATATCACATACATATAAATATTGTATTCTACTATAGATCAACTTCTCTCGCACTTTCAAGAAAATCATGAATAACGGTTCGTGTAGTAGAAGATTGATGTGAATTTCGTCCGATGACGTAGGAACAGATGAGATCCTGAATATACATATGAGCCTATGTTAGCAAACAGTTAGGGATTTAAATACAATGAGGACAGAAAGACTGATCTAAAGATTTTGTATGGTGTTTAATGCTCCTTAAATCGACTTTAAGATTAAATCAATTTATTAGAAGAGTTCTTTTCTCAAAACGGTTATGATATATAAATCTTGATAATATTTAAGAGAAATTGTCATAATCGTATGTGATTAAAGTTACTGTTAAATTATTAAATTTCTTTCTCCCTATTACAATTTGTAGCCTTCCACACCACGTACACCATCGCCTTTTGTAAGTAAAATTGTGTTAGTCAGTCGCGTGGCGTGAATTGAATGCAGTATTTATACTGACAGTCATAAAATATTTTTTGTTGTTGAGAATAATTGAATATACATATATACTAGGGCGGGTCAAATTTTTTTTCGATGTTTTACCTATCCTAGCGGTGTTCTACGGGTCGTTTTAAGAAACTTTGCCCAAGGAACTATAGCTCTATCGTGAAAATCGAGCCTCCGTATTTTGCGAGTA